CACGTGCTCGCAGTGTGGGAAGAGCTTCAAGTGCAGATCCTATCTGGTTGAGCACGTCAGAATCCACACAGGAGAGAGGCCCTACGAGTGCGACAAATGCAAGAAGAGGTTCCAGACCAGCTCCGCTCTCCTCGTGCACCGGCGCACTCACACCGGGGAGAAGCCCTTCCTCTGCCCCGACTGCGGGAAGGGGTTCAGTCAGAAGTCCAACCTCATCACCCACCGGCGCATCCACACCGGCGAGAAGCCCTACGAGTGCGGGCAGTGCGGGAAGAGCTTCAGGACCAACTGCCAGCTGGTTGCCCACCAGCGGATGCACACGGACGAGCGGCCCTACGAGTGCGGGCAGTGCGGCAAGAGCTTCAGGACAAACGGCCAGCTGGTTCTCCACCGGTGGATCCACACGGGAGAGCGGCCCTACAAGTGCGGGCAGTGCGGGATGAGCTTCGCCCTGCGCTCCCGGCTGATTTTACACCAGAGGAGCCACCCGGGGCATTGGTGGGGGTCCGAGGGGGAGAGACCCTCGTCCCCATTCCCACTCCCAGTCCCATTCCCTGTCCCCATTCCCATTCCCTGTCCCTGTCCCCATTCCCGCTCCCTGTCCCCATTCCCATTCCCTGTCCCCATTCCCACTCCCTGTCCCCATTCCCTGTCCCCATCCCTGTCCCCATTCCCACTCCCAGTCCCATTCCCTGTCCCCATTCCCATTCCCTGTCCCTGTCCCCATTCCCGCTCCCTGTCCCCATTCCCATTCCCTGTCCCCATTCCCACTCCCTGTCCCCATTCCCTGTCCCCATCCCTGTCCCCATTCCCACTCCCAGTCCCATTCCCTGTCCCCATTCCCATTCCCTGTCCCTGTCCCCATTCCCGCTCCCTGTCCCCATTCCCATTCCCTGTCCCCATTCCCACTCCCTGTCCCCATTCCCTGTCCCCATCCCTGTCCCCATTCCCACTCCCAGTCCCATTCCCTGTCCCCATTCCCATTCCCTGTCCCTGTCCCCATTCCCGCTCCCTGTCCCCATTCCCATTCCCTGTCCCCATTCCCACTCCCTGTCCCCATTCCCTGTCCCCATCCCTGTCCCCATTCCCACTCCCAGTCCCATTCCCTGTCCCCATTCCCATTCCCTGTCCCTGTCCCCATTCCCGCTCCCTGTCCCCATTCCCATTCCCTGTCCCCATTCCCACTCCCTGTCCCCATTCCCTGTCCCCATCCCTGTCCCCATTCCCACTCCCAGTCCCATTCCCTGTCCCCATTCCCATTCCCTGTCCCTGTCCCCATTCCCGCTCCCTGTCCCCATTCCCATTCCCTGTCCCCATTCCCACTCCCTGTCCCCATTCCCTGTCCCCATCCCTGTCCCCATTCCCACTCCCAGTCCCATTCCCTGTCCCCATTCCCATTCCCTGTCCCTGTCCCCATTCCCGCTCCCTGTCCCCATTCCCATTCCCTGTCCCCATTCCCACTCCCTGTCCCCATTCCCTGTCCCCATCCCTGTCCCCATTCCCACTCCCAGTCCCATTCCCTGTCCCCATTCCCATTCCCTGTCCCTGTCCCCATTCCCGCTCCCTGTCCCCATTCCCATTCCCTGTCCCCATTCCCACTCCCTGTCCCCATTCCCTGTCCCCATCCCTGTCCCCATTCCCACTCCCAGTCCCATTCCCTGTCCCCATTCCCATTCCCTGTCCCTGTCCCCATTCCCGCTCCCTGTCCCCATTCCCATTCCCTGTCCCCATTCCCACTCCCTGTCCCCATTCCCTGTCCCCATCCCTGTCCCCATTCCCACTCCCAGTCCCATTCCCTGTCCCCATTCCCATTCCCTGTCCCTGTCCCCATTCCCGCTCCCTGTCCCCATTCCCATTCCCTGTCCCCATTCCCACTCCCTGTCCCCATTCCCTGTCCCCATCCCTGTCCCCATTCCCACTCCCAGTCCCATTCCCTGTCCCCATTCCCATTCCCTGTCCCTGTCCCCATTCCCGCTCCCTGTCCCCATTCCCATTCCCTGTCCCCATTCCCACTCCCTGTCCCCATTCCCTGTCCCCATCCCTGTCCCCATTCCCACTCCCAGTCCCATTCCCTGTCCCCATTCCCATTCCCTGTCCCTGTCCCCATTCCCGCTCCCTGTCCCCATTCCCATTCCCTGTCCCCATTCCCACTCCCTGTCCCCATTCCCTGTCCCCATCCCTGTCCCCATTCCCACTCCCAGTCCCATTCCCTGTCCCCATTCCCATTCCCTGTCCCTGTCCCCATTCCCGCTCCCTGTCCCCATTCCCATTCCCTGTCCCCATTCCCACTCCCTGTCCCCATTCCCTGTCCCCATCCCTGTCCCCATTCCCACTCCCAGTCCCATTCCCTGTCCCCATTCCCATTCCCTGTCCCTGTCCCCATTCCCGCTCCCTGTCCCCATTCCCATTCCCTGTCCCCATTCCCACTCCCTGTCCCCATTCCCTGTCCCCATCCCTGTCCCCATTCCCACTCCCAGTCCCATTCCCTGTCCCCATTCCCATTCCCTGTCCCTGTCCCCATTCCCGCTCCCTGTCCCCATTCCCATTCCCTGTCCCCATTCCCACTCCCTGTCCCCATTCCCTGTCCCCATCCCTGTCCCCATTCCCACTCCCAGTCCCATTCCCTGTCCCCATTCCCATTCCCTGTCCCTGTCCCCATTCCCGCTCCCTGTCCCCATTCCCATTCCCTGTCCCCATTCCCACTCCCTGTCCCCATTCCCTGTCCCCATCCCTGTCCCCATTCCCACTCCCAGTCCCATTCCCTGTCCCCATTCCCATTCCCTGTCCCTGTCCCCATTCCCGCTCCCTGTCCCCATTCCCATTCCCTGTCCCCATTCCCACTCCCTGTCCCCATTCCCTGTCCCCATCCCTGTCCCCATTCCCACTCCCAGTCCCATTCCCTGTCCCCATTCCCATTCCCTGTCCCTGTCCCCATTCCCGCTCCCTGTCCCCATTCCCATTCCCTGTCCCCATTCCCACTCCCTGTCCCCATTCCCTGTCCCCATCCCTGTCCCCATTCCCACTCCCAGTCCCATTCCCTGTCCCCATTCCCATTCCCTGTCCCTGTCCCCATTCCCGCTCCCTGTCCCCATTCCCATTCCCTGTCCCCATTCCCACTCCCTGTCCCCATTCCCTGTCCCCATCCCTGTCCCCATTCCCACTCCCAGTCCCATTCCCTGTCCCCATTCCCATTCCCTGTCCCTGTCCCCATTCCCGCTCCCTGTCCCCATTCCCATTCCCTGTCCCCATTCCCACTCCCTGTCCCCATTCCCTGTCCCCATCCCTGTCCCCATTCCCACTCCCAGTCCCATTCCCTGTCCCCATTCCCATTCCCTGTCCCTGTCCCCATTCCCGCTCCCTGTCCCCATTCCCATTCCCTGTCCCCATTCCCACTCCCTGTCCCCATTCCCTGTCCCCATCCCTGTCCCCATTCCCACTCCCAGTCCCATTCCCTGTCCCCATTCCCATTCCCTGTCCCTGTCCCCATTCCCACTCCCAGTCCCATTCCCTGTCGCCATTCCCATTCCCTGTCCCCATCCCCAGCCCCTGTCCCCGCTCCCCGTCTCCTCTCACCGGACGCCGCCGCCATCGCTCCGCTCCACCCCGGCCCTCACGTGACGGGGAAAACACCGCGCTGCCGCCGCCCACCAATCGCAGCCCGCGCTCGCTGCCTGATTTGCATAGCCACGCCCGCTGGGCTGGCCCCGCCCCAGTACTGGTTCGCTCCCAGTTCGCTCCCAGCGCTCCCAGTAAGAGCGGCCCCTGCGGGGAGAGCGCTCCCAGTAAGAGCGGCCCCGGCGGGGAGAGCGCTCCCAGCGCCCGCCCGCTGCTGCCGGCATCGCTGCCGGGGCCGCTCGGGAACCCGCCCGGGGCAGAGCGCGGCTGCTTTTGGGGGTCGGCACCGCCCGGACCGGGCTGGGAGCGGCGGCAGCGAGAGGGGGACTCGGGAGGAGGAGGAGGAGAGGAAGGGGAAAGGGAGGGACGAAGGAAGAGAAACAGGAGCAGGGGAAGAGGAAGAGGAGGGCCAGAGGAAGAGGAGGAGCAGCCCCGAGCCCACGCGGTTGCCTCGCTGCGGCCGCGGCTCGCCCGCATCCGCCGGCATCGCCCCCCCGGCAGCCGCAGGTGAGCGGGGAGGGGGAGCTCGCCCCGAAGCCATCGCGGGGGTCTCCGGGAGGGTTTTGGTGCGGGGCAGGGGGTGCGGAGGCAAACGGCACGGTGTCCTTGTGCTTCCTCCGCAGAGCAGGAGCCGAGCATGGAGAGCAGGGAGGACAAATCCCCGCGGCAGAACCCGGCGGCAGAGGCCGTGGGGAGCGGCTGCACGGCGCGGGAAGGCGGCGGGGAGGAAAAGCCCCGGAGATGCCTCAGCAGGAGGGGCTGCAAAGGCAGAGCGCGGGGAGGCGAGGGGGAAAGAGCCGGGCCGGGCCGGGGAGGCGGCCGGAGCTCGGAGCTGGGGGTCCCTGAGCAGCCCCAGGATGGGGAGAAGCCCCACACGTGCTCGCAGTGTGGGAAGAGCTTCAAGTGCAGATCCTATCTGGTTGAGCACGTCAGAATCCACACAGGAGAGAGGCCCTACGAGTGCGACAAATGCAAGAAGAGGTTCCAGACCAGCTCCGCTCTCCTCGTGCACCGGCGCACTCACACCGGGGAGAAGCCCTTCCTCTGCCCCGACTGCGGGAAGGGGTTCAGTCAGAAGTCCAACCTCATCACCCACCGGCGCATCCACACCGGGGAGAAGCCCTACGAGTGCGGGCAGTGCGGGAAGAGCTTCAGGACCAACTGCCAGCTGGTTGCCCACCAGCGGATGCACACGGACGAGCGGCCCTACGAGTGCGGGCAGTGCGGCAAGAGCTTCAGGACAAACGGCCAGCTGGTTCTCCACCGGTGGATCCACACGGGAGAGCGGCCCTACAAGTGCGGGCAGTGCGGGATGAGCTTCGCCCTGCGCTCCCGGCTGATTTTACACCAGAGGAGCCACCCGGGGCATTGGTGGGGGTCCGAGGGGGAGAGACCCTCGCTGGGCCCCCCCCACCCCAAGAGGAGGGGGTGACAAAGAGGGGGGGTCGGGGGTGTCCCCAAAGTGCGGGGGGAGCGGGGATGGGGGAGGGGAAGCGCGGTTGGGGCGCGACGGAAACGCCTCCGGTGCCGCCCGCGGCTCGGCGGTGGCGGGCACCTGTCACCGTGTCACCGTGTGCCCCTGGCACCGTGTCCCCCTGGCACCCTCTCCCCTGTGCCCCCTGTCCCCGGTCACCGTGTCCACCTGTCCGTCTGTGCCCCCTGTCCCTCTGTCACCGTGTCCACCTGTCCGTCTGTGCC